CCAACACAAAACACATGCAACAATCAGCAATCCACACACAAACATCAAATTTAGGGCTCACGGTGAAGACCAGAATGCACAAAGAGCTTTTGCCGAAGCTCCAAACACTAAAAAACCATGGGTCTCTTCCCACCAAAAAACACTCCCACACACCACAAACAACCATGGGTCTCTTCCCAAGGACCCTTAGTCGCACTTCTCTGTGAGAGGAAAGTGCATTGCCCGTTGGATGTTCGAAGAACAAGTAGAGCAAAAAAATCGGCTCCAATATTACAAAAAATATTTGAAAATAGTAAAGTTAATTCAAATGACTTCAAAAAATTTAACAAAAATCACCATAATTTTCACCATCATTAGTCGACCTTGGATTTGACTTTTGGTTGCTGGAGGATGTTGGCGGGCTAGAATTGTTCACCTATTCTTCCTTGAGTATTTTGTAGTTTTATTTGATTGGTAGTTGTCTTGGATTAATTGCACTGATATTAAGTTGAAACAGTAACTGTAGTTTTAGGGTTAGAAGAAAAGGAGAGGAGAGAAAGTAATGAGAGAAGGAAGGAGAGAATAACCTATATAGTAGCAAGGTTGTCTTAAACTCTCCATTTATAACTGAGCAATATTAAGGTAATTATAAAATTACTCTAGACTAATGAGCTTATGTCTAATATAGAAACTAAGAACTCTACCACCATTAACTGAAAAAAAATCATTTCTACATGTAGCTTGCATCACCATTCAATGGTAGAGCAACAAAAATTGTGTCATCACCTCATTGGTCGGAGGCCCAAATGGTCTATAGAATCAATTTTTTTTTTTTTTTTAAGATTTTGAGTTCTTAGAAGAAGAGAGTAGAAATAAAGGGTACGCTCTCTAGAAAAGTTGCTCGGAGCTGTTCACTTTCACTTGGTCGCCTAGTAAGAAAAATACTTGTTCCCAATTTGCTTGAAGTCGCTTCTTAAAACTTACATAAACTTGCAAGGAAGAGTAGGAGATAAAAGAATATTGCTACACTAAGATTTCATATTAATAATAACTAGGTACAAGAGACACTATATATAAAATCAAATGAAAAAAACTAGAATACCCCTAGTGGTAAATAAACATAAATATAAAATACAATCTTAACACCCCTTGCCCCACTCAAACTCATGATGTGATAGTTGGAAGCATTGAGGGTTTGTCAAAAAGAAAACAAAAATGCAACGTAATGTGTGACTTAGTGAAAAAGTCAACTAATTGCATAGTTGAAGAAACAAAAGACAAGGAAACAGTCCTAAACTGAAGATGTGGCGTATAAAATGGCAATCGATCTCGATATTTTTGGTCTGCTCATAGAAAACAGAATTGTGTGCAACCTGAATGATACTCTTGTTTGGACTAAAGAAAAAACGCCTAGATCGTTAAGTAATAATCTCAATCATATAATCTCTGACGTAGCAGTAGCCATAGTACGATATTCAATTTCAGGAGTGGAACATGCGACAACGGTCTAGTTCTTTTTTTAGGAAATTAGGGAATCACCTCGAAAGATACAAAAATCAGTTGTGGGTTTACGATCCATGGCATCACCAGCACAACCAGCATTAGAAAAATCATGAAGCTCCAAAGAAAAAGTGGAAAAGAACATCAAACTCTGATATAAAGTGTTTCAAAGATAATGCAAAATACAGAGAACTATAGCACAATGAACTATAGTCAGAGAATCGACAAATTGGCTTACAACATGAACAACATAAACAATATCAAGTTGTGGACCAAGCTATCAACAAGAATTTGGTATAAAGTAGGATAAGCCAAAAAGACACTATCAGTAGAAGTGTAATGTTCATTGAGCTCGAGAGGAGTCTTAATAGTCCAAGAATCTGTTAATCGAGCATTGTGGATAACAGTAGTGCATCCTTTGGCTAGAAAGAAGATAACCTTTAGGTGACGAAGACACTTCAATGCGCAAAAAATAGAAAAGGACACCAAGATCCTTGGTCTCAAATTTATGTTGTAAATGAGCTTTCAAAACTAAGATACCCAAATCATCTATAATAATAATCATGTCACCAACATATAACAGAAGAACAATCTGACCAGCGAAAGTAGAACGAAGAAAAAGAGTAGAATCATAATTACTGGAACGAAAACCTAAGTAATAAATCACGGTAGAGAACTTCTCAAATCAAACTCGAGAAGCCTTTTTGAGATCATACAAAACTTTTCTTAGTTTGCACACAGCACACCTCATCATAAGCGTGAGGGAGACTAGGAGGAAGAACCATAGAACTTTTTCAATTAAATCACCATTCAAAAAAGCATTCTTGACATTCATTTGAGATTGTTTCTATTAGCGAATAGTTGCTACAAGCATCGATGTACAAACAATGGTCATCTTTGCAACAGGAGCAAATGTAACCTCATAATCAATGTCATATTCTTATGCAAAACCCTTGGCAACCAATCTAGTCGTATATCTTTCGACAAAACTATCAGTCTTAATTTTATTCTTGTATACCCACCAACAACTAATAGCATGCTCGTCAGTAGGTAAAGACACAAGATCTCATGTCCTAGTTTTATGTAATGTAAAAAGTTCTTCGTTCATAGCTTGTTGTCAAATAGGATCAAGGGCAACCTCTTTATAGGAGATTAAAAGATAAAAAAGAACAAAAATCAAAGGAATAATAAGTTTGAGCAAGACAAAGGCGATCAGGACACTTATGAATGCACTTAGGATAGCGAGAATAGGAAGAATTCATATCATCAAAAGCTGGTGTAAACACAGCTGAAAGAGGTAGAGGTGTTGTACCTACAATGGAGTTAGTCTTGTTCTTGCAAAAATAAGCGTTGATAATCGGAGGGGGTGTAACTGAAGAAAAGAAAGACTGAGGCGAATAATGAAAACGTTAGAAGTGAGCATGTCATGAATATAAGAATCACAGCATTATTATTAGGAAATGATCAATATAAATCACGTCAGATTTATCAAATGTGTCATAAGTGGAAGGAATGCAAAAGAAAAGAACATGTTTAAGGAAGACCACATGTCTAGATATATACAATCTTTTTGCAATAGGGTCATAACAGTGATGCCTTTTTTGTCTCTCACCTTAACCAAGAAAAACACACATGGTGAAACAGGTAAATAACTTATTTCGTTCAGATTTAGGAAGAAAAACAAGCAGGTACAACCAAACACGCATTGAAAAATAGTCAAAAGGAAAAACACTCAAAGTAATAATAGAAGGAATTCGGTTAACAAGATGAACAGTTGTGAGAACTGTCTCTCCTCAAAAAGAGTTGGGAACAGTTGTAGATAAAATCAATGAATGAGTTGTCTCCATAATATGTCTGTGCTTTCGCTCAGCGACACTATTCTGTTCAGGAGTGTCTGCACAAGAGGACTATTGAATAGTTCCATCAAATTTCAATAAACAAATAAAATTAGAATATTTGTATTCTCCACCCAAATCACACCAGAAACATTTAATTATATTGCAGAATATTGTGTGTGATGCCGGAACGAAAATAGCAAAGATAGAGAAAAATTCAGATGACTCCTTAATGAGATAAACCCAACAATATTGAATATGATCATCAATAAAAGAAACATAGTATCGAGAACCTCCTTTGGTTGCATGGGGGCAAAATCGAACACAACAAAATGCATAAGGTCGAAAGAAGCAAAAGAAGTGAAACTATCCATAAAAGGTAAAGCTGTGCATATGACAAGTTTACAACCACTACAATCAAAAATGTCATGACTACTTAAATTTCTTAAAGCAACAGTAGAAACAAGAAACTTTAAATGAGAACTAGAAATATGTCAAATATGAGAATGCCATAAATAAAACACAAAAGACTTAAGGTTCGAACACATGGAAAATAAATCAATAGAATAAACAGTTACAGGAACGTGCAATTTTTCCAACATATATAATCCTCCAACTGGCCTATTCCAATCAGTTTCTTAGAATGCGGATCCTGCACAATACAACCAATGAAGGAAAAACAATGTAACCAAGATTTGAAATTGACCGATAGAAATCAAATTCAGTTAAAGTTGACGGATATAGTAAACATCAGAAAGAGAGAAAAGTGAAGTCATAATAGATTCAACCTCTACATCTGAAGCTGTTGATAAAGACTGGGGTAGGGGAAGAAGGAGATAAGGTAGAAGGAAACAAAGATGTATCATTAGTCATATGATGTGTAGCACCTGAATTGAATTAAAGAGCCAAGTAAAGTAAGATATACCTAAAGGTGTTGATAAAGACAAACCTATAAGGGATGAATCAGATACAACATTACTTCCATTTTTCATAGTGCAAGTTTTGAAAACTTTTCTTCCATTCCTTCAACAACTCTTGCTTCAACACCAAACTCTAATTTTTTTTATTTTTTTTTGTTAAAACCTTAATCAAGGATAGAAGTAGAAGTAGGCTAAATTTGTAATTTCTGTTCTGGGTAGAATCTGCAATCTGTTGGACTGATTCTGAAATGTCTACAGCTTCTGAAAATTTAGGGTTTTCTCTATAATTTTAGAAACTTTAGAGAAAGTAACACAACAACCACAAGTCTTCTTCAATCAACAGATGAAACCCTAGTATCCATATGATAGGAGAAACCATTCAAGTCGCTGTTCATGACATTATTCAGGTCATTGTTCATGTTACTGTTGTTCATGCTACAGTGATTGCAAATCCAAAGAACAACAACTAATAGGAGTTTGCTCTGATACCATGAAAACTTAAACTTTCAAAGAAGAAAATACATACGAAGAAGAGTAAAGAGAGAAAAGAAGACTGCTACACCAAGATTTCATAATAATAATAAACTAGGGACAAGAGACACTATATATAAAACCCTAACCCAAGAGAAACACTAGAATATCCTTAATAGTAAATAAGCATAAATATAAATACAATCTTAACAACTTCAAATCATTTGTAACATAATCTTGATGCATGATGGAATGTTACGTTGCAAGTTGATCTTTGGTTAAGTTTAAGTTTTCTATGGTGAATTTATATTTTCTTCTGCATATTGGAAGCATGCCAAACATCTAAAGGTTTACACGTGTTACTGTATTCGGAAGCTTTCATTTTTGAATAAAATTAAAATGATTATTCACCTATTAATTTGCTTAAGATTCTGTTTTCTTTTACCTTGCTATATCTGTTAATTCCTGTGTTCCCTGAGTATAGTTGTTTTGTGTAATTGTTTTTTCTAGGTTGAGCCAGGGGCCTGTGATCAAAGTTTTGGTATTCATGTCGCAGAATTTGCAAACTTCCCAGAAAGTGTTGTCACTCTTGCTAGAGAAAAGGCTGCTGAGTTGGAAGATTTCTCGCCTATTTCTATCATCTCAAATGATGCCAAAGAAGAGGTACAATCTCCTGTTTTCTTAGAATGTTTGCGATGAGGCAGATACTGACAGTTGGCTTCTAACATTATCGACCGTTAAATATCGGGTTTTCACTGATTGTTGTGAAAACCTGGTTTCTGATCATGTAAGTCCTATATATGATGAAGAATTCAATATTAATCAATACACATAGGATTGGTTTCTTTAGACCATCTTTTAAGTACTAGTTTTTACATTTGTCTTTGTTTTTGAGCTCCAAGAAATAGTTAGTGTCACGCTCCGAACCCAATCATCTTGGATCCGGTTCGTGAACTCAATTACTTTCAATTTAAATCAATGCAAGCACTAAAACTTCCAATAATTGCTAAATTCCCCACCATTAAAATTACAATTGACCTCAAATATTACATATTTCCTCAATAAATAATTACAATCTCTAATCCCTCACTTAATCCAATTCTATATTGATTCCATCACAAACTAAACCTACATTTGAGAGGGTAAATGAGAGTGAGTTTGGGAGGCCTAGTAAGCAATTTACCATATAATATACGAAATCAAAGGAAAATCGAACGATAATCAAACAATCAACAATCAACAATCAACTGCGAAAGCACAAAATACAAAAGAATATTATTTTACAAATAATATGAAACTCCATACTGCAAATTTTCAAATCACTCATTTTTTCATACTTGGTTTGTCTCGATAACAAGTTAGGTAACACTTGGTACATCCTATCTATTACATGGCCCACAAGGTCACCATCACATCAAACTATCATTACTGTGTCACTGAGTGTGCCCGCATGTATTGAAAAGTCCCGAAGCAATTCACCAATGATAAAAATATTTTTAGCACATCATGTCTAACGATATTTCAAATGAAAATTGGAAGGAATATCGAATCATAAATGACTAAACGGTCAAACAGAATATAACGATGTGAATCATAATACAAGCTCTTCACAAATAGATTTAAACATGGATGCTTATTGTAAGATAAGCCACTTACATAAAACTCAATCAACGCCAATGAATACAAGGGTCTCGTTTCCTGCAATACCTCTTGAAATTTCATCTCAGTAAGACCAGATTTTTCCTTATGATTACTCGAACAAACTCATCTTTCTCTCATTTTGTTTTCACCCATGCTCTAATTAACTTTCAGCCCACAAAGTATTCTACGCCTCATTCTCTCTCTTCCTTGTTCACGTTCTTGTTCAGTTGTTCCCCTCTCTCTCTCTCCCTAATCACTTCCCCACACACAATACAAACCCTCCACAACAAAATTTATATTACTTATTTTAATGCCGTAAATATTCTCTCTGGTTTTATATGTCCTCAGTCTTCATACACACACACACACACGGTTCTTGGAGGAACCTTTACATATTACTTATCACATAAGACTCCAAACTCGATAGGAATACAAATCCTTGATAAAATCCTAATTAAACCACAAATAGCAACATTCCAAATGGTAGTTAGTGTGATGGTTGTTTTTCCTTTTAGAGGTAGGATTGAGATATGGTAGGGAAAGTTTAGGAATGGTGATGGAGGCTAGTGCGTGGTTCTGAGGATTTTGTGATAAGAGCTGGTGCGGGCTTCGGTTGATTGTTGACATGGATTGAGACGAGTTGGTTGAGCCCAAATTTTTTGTTCTAGATCTTCCTGTGGTCTGGCTTTTAGAAGTCTTTAGTAAGCTTGCTCAGGCTTACTTTTAGGGGGCTGCCTTTGAATTTTGGCAATTCAGTGTAGTTGGACTCTCATGTTAATCCCAATGAATCATCCTTTCCATGGAGGTAAACCTTTACCTCCTAGGCAAGAGGACAGTAAGTTATCAATTCTGTCTCCATAGGACGTGTTCCTATTACTATGAAAATCGTTAAAGGAGCAATTGGTGGTGTGCTTGCCTTATACTTTCTGTACTGACAAATATTGTATTTGTTCCGAAAATGCATCTTTTTGCTGAAACAATAGAGCAATTATTCCCTTCCAGAAGCTTCCCATCATCTGCAACTCTAAATTCAAACTGTCTTTTTCACAAAGTTCTGTACAACGAGATTTGGTTAACTGTTTGCCCATTAAACCAAGTCAGATGGGTTTTAATATGGGACCTTTTGCCCAAGAAAGGAGCATCGAGTCAACACAAAATAATGAATTTGCTTCCTGTTCATGTAGAGCTATACTGTACTGTTACACTGGAATTTCACATTCTATGTATTTTGCTGTTATAGTCATGTTTGATGAGGTTTCTATACTTCGTTTATTTGTTTGTAATTTATATCTTTAGTTTATAAATGCAAGTGAAGGACCAGTTTACTTATGAAAACAAACTAAGTATGCCTTAATTGCATTTGCTTGTTACTAAGTCAGATAGCATTGTCTGAATTCCTATGATCTACAGTTGGGATCTAAACGGAAGAGAGCGTGTGACCCCAATGATATGTCCGTAGGTGCAGCCCGAGCTCGCCAGTTCTTGAAGGACTTCTCAGAGTTGCCACTAGATAAGATGGACCTCAGGCAGGCCTTGCATGAAGTGAGCAAACTGAGAAAAGACTTGGAGAATGATGCTGTGAACTGTCGCTGGCTCCAGCAATTTTTTTAGTTTTCTTCAAAAGTGGTCCACAATTTTGGTTTTTTGGTAGGCCTTGTAGCCCTGTAAATGAAATACAAGGCAAATAGGCAGTAGTCCCATGTGAAATGGGCACAATGCCCTTACATATTGCTCCCTTTTGGCCCCTTAATGTCTTTTATTTGGAAGTCTTGTGTGCTTGCACCCCTATAGATACTCTAAAGGGTGCAAATGTCTTTTTAATCGAAATTTTTTTGAAGGAAATATCAATTTCTGTCCACACAAAATGCGTAAAATAACATCCGAAAACATAAATTGGCATTTGTAGACAACACATACAAATACAAAAATAAGATAAAAAAATGACTCAGTATATTTTACTTTATCAATATTCATGTGCAAAAAATGGCAATTATTGTTCAGCCTATGTACTAGAGTTGGGTATTTTAAGTAAGATTTGATGATCTTTTATGAAAGAATGCATCTATGAAGAATTGGTATGAAGACTAAAAGGAAATTATTTCTCAGTGTATGTGTTCAAGTAGTTTATAATAAAACCAATTACTTTCTGAGCTTAGACTTGAAAATTTTCATACACTCTTAACAAATTTGCGGATGAAAATACGCACTTAGCAAGTACTTGATTGATCAATAGACCTTTACATTTTTTAAGTATCATCAATATTAGGAATTTAGGAATCCTATGGTTCAATGAATTCATGCAACTTTCCTCAGCCTTTGTATTTCAGCCTCAAGATTTACCCTTTTCACCCTGGCCAACTTTCCAATCATTGTCAATCACAAAACAAAGTGATAGTAGGACACACCCAAAGAATGCAAAATGACAACTCTATACGCTTTTCGGAAGAAATATTCAAAATATATACAAAATATCAAGAGCTAGCATTGGCATAATAGCATTTCAACTGATAAGTTTGAAAATCGTCAAAGTTTTCACTCAAAAAGTTAAGCTATCTATTACAAACCTAAATGATGAAAATATATGCAATTGAGTGATATGTCGGGCATTCCGTGCATCTATCACAAGGACTTGAGACTTGAATCCAAATCTTCCACGATCCCCACAGATGATTTTTTTTTTTTCATAAAATACATCTATAGTCTGATGTTGCTATTATTTGACTATTTATGTCAGTAACTAATGATAATTTTTTTTTTTTTCTGGATACAAGAATGACGGTATGCTGGACTACATAAGAATATGTTTGGAAAACATAAATTTACTTTTCTATTATAGTATTTTTGAAAATTAAGACGACAGAATAGCAAGAAATTTTACTATTTATCGACAAATGTATACAATAAAAACACATATGTGAAAATGTAGACGCGTACATGTTTTCCACTTAAGTCATGGTTAAAACTAAAATCTGTCAAGTGTCTAGACTTGTTGCCAAGACAATAAAAAACAAGGAGGCCAATCTAAACTTAACAGTAAAAAAGTCTAATATGATATGACAATTTTTAATTAACTTGTCAACTCAACACAAAATAGATATAGAATTATCGAATATGGGTTAAACCAACTTTGTCCTTATTTTTCATATCTGATTGTGAGGAGTCAGGACGTTGCCCCGATGGCAACACATAAGTGCCATCATTAGCACATTCTCTCAGAGGTGCCAACTATGGTCTTTGAATTCATTAATGTATATATATTGTATGACTCACTGATTTGGATTTAGTTTTGTGAGTTAGATAATTTGGAGTACCATCAAACAATCTTTTAGTGCCTGTTTGTTTCATTTATAACTTAAAAAAGTAATTTTCTAATAGAACCGCAAAAAATTGCAGGAGAAAAAATGTTAGATATGTTTGGATATACGATTTTTAAATTACTTGCATATGGATTATCTAATTGTAAAAAAAAAAATTAGAAAAAATTTAAACGTAAAGGGGTAAAAGCAGCTTTATACGCATCAATTTGAGCTTTCAGTAAAAGTTCTTGCCAAAAAGGTGCTTTTTGGGATTGTCAAACACTACAAATACAATTTTACAGTCTCAAAGCATTTAATCCCTCTTATTGCAGAACCAAACAAGTCCTGAGAAGATAGATACATCTTTCGTTATCATAGGATTCTCCCTGCTTCACTTCCCCCCCCCCCCCCCCCCCCCCCCCCCCCCCCC